AGGCACCCAGGACCTGGGCTTCCCTCGCAGCCCCGGCTTTGTCCAGAAGGTTGTCCAGAAGGATGACCAGTCTAATTAGCATATTGCACTTTTATTATTATAGATATTATAATTCTATTTTATTATAATTCTATTATACATGATGTTATAGCATTATGGCATATGTCATAATCATAAATGTTATAAAAATATATATGTATATGTATTACTAGAGGCCCATTGCACGAAGAGATTCGTGCAATAGGCCTTCCCTTCCCCTGGCTGCCGGCACCAGTTTTCCTCCGGCACCCGGGACCCAGGCCTTCGCTCCGGCCCGGAGCCTTCCTCGCTCCGCTGCTTCGTGCCTACGTATGCAAATTAACCGCCATCTTTGTTGGGTTAATTTGCATATTCTCCTGATTGGCTGGTGAGGGTAGCAGAGGGACAGTCAATTTACATGTTTGTCTATTATTAGGTAAGTATGTATATATATGTATTATATATACATCCTCCCTACTTAGCTTTGCTCACTGAAAAAAGTCTAGACACAATATCAAATGAGTATTCCTAGCACCAAAACTACTATATTTCCCACTAACAGAAACCAGAATTTCAAGTAGTTTCTGGCTGATGCCACAGAATATGTCCAAGATGAACCTGGGACAGCTGGTCCTATGAGAGAGTAAGAAAACTATCAAAGATTACCAGAGTCACTTTTGAAAGTTCCAACCCACAAAAGCTTCCTCAGCCAGGTGTGCCCAGCAGGGAGGATAAGTGCCAGGGACTGAAGTAAGGTGTGTTTCTCCATAAGCTCATAATGACTTAACAACAATAAAACCTAATTCATCACTGAGAGGACTGTGGGGAGTCATTCATTATTTTGAACACTGGTATATAAAGTGAACGAAGCCAGCTTTTGTCTTGCCTTTTCTATAGGAAGTTTCACTGGGTAATCACGTAGAAAGTAAGGGGAAGGAAACATCTGGCAAGGGAAGAATCCTAACTAATAAATAGGAAAGAAATGCTGGAGGAAGGTCACTGTTTTACAACCTCAATGGCCACTGACATTATGTAAGGAGAGACCGTCAAAGAGTATGAGCCTCCTGGTGAAAGGACACAACACCACCCATGGTTGTGCCAAGGAATTAAACCCCAGTCTGAACCCAGTTCTGGAACAAACCACCAATTCGCAGGGTGTGGGGAAGACAAAGCAACATACTGGACTGCATCATGAGTGTGCAATCAACGACACCCCAACTGTAGGAAACACCTCAGGACAAAGAGCCTGAGTTGTATATTGGATTTATCTCAAGGGAAGAAAGGGGATATAGGGGCCTGTGAGTTACCAGAGATTGAAAAGACATATTTTCTTTTGGAATGGGCAATGTTACAGGCAGTTAGACAGACATGACCAGAGCAAGGACGATGGGCCAGGTACTGAAACTCACAAGGGCAAAAAGCTTGGGATACCTAGAAAGCGGCAAAACTGAGAAAACAAGAATCTCATCCCTAGGGTAACGTATCCTCCCCTAGCATATTGCTAGTCAAGCAGTTTAGACCCCCTAACCTTTCCTCCCTAAAGATAACATCTGGGCCTCAGTTGTATTTTAACTCCAGGCCCAGAAAAGCAGCAAAACCAGACAAGTGATGCTGTAGCTGCCTCAGGACCAGCTACATTGACTAATGACCCCTGCCCTGGCGTTGACCAATCAGTGGAGAGCATGAACCTGAAAGAGCACACCTAGAAAACGGATAAATATTCTATTGAGACCCTCCCATGAGACCTAAGATTTCTCCCTGCAGGAGAGAGATAAATATGCTCAGCATGAAGGACCCATCTCAAACTCGCCCCCCCTGGAGCATGCCCCTGCCATTCCCTTCTCCCATCTTTCCCCTGAGGGTCCTCGCAAGACTTGCAACCAGGGGAGCAATGGTTGCAAGTGGCAGCTTGTCCTGGGCTAACCCCCTGAACCTGTCTCCAAGCCCCTCTTTTCTCTGACTTCTCAGCGAGCCAAAGCAGCCCAGCCTAGGCTCTCTTATCGCTTTTTCTATGCCCTTCCTTGTTTCACTGTCCTAAGTATATTTTTGCTGCGGCCAATAAATTCTTACTTACTTTGCTACACTTTGTCTTGTGATTGAAATCTTTCCTCCAAGAAGACAAGAACGGAGGTTTCATAGTCTCCAAACAGGCAAGACTAAAACTACAGTGTCTGGAGATTCATATTCGGGTGATAAATTATTCAGGAATGGAAGGCAGTGATTACTACAAAAGTCACAACAGTGGTTACTTTGCAAAGTACGAAGGCAGCTGTGATGGGAATGTGGTGAATGGAGGGCCTTCTGAGGTAGCTGGAGACATGTTGACCTGGGTGGGGGTTATAATTATGTTCACTTCCCAGCTGGGGTTCTCAAACTCAGCACTATTGACATTCAGGCTATATAATCCTTTGTTGTGGGGGCTACTCTGTGCACTGTAGGGTGTTCAGCAGCATCCCTGGCTTCCACCCACTAGATCCTTTCCCCTTCTCCATTATGACAATCAAAAATCACCCTGGGCCAGCACCGGTTTGGCTCAGTGGATAGAGCGTCGGCCTGCGGACTGAAGGGTCCCAGGTTCGATTCCGGTCAAGGGCATGTACCTTGGTTGCGGGTATTTCCCCAGTGAGGGGTGTGCAGGAGGCAGCTGATCGATGTTTCTCTCTCATCGATGTTTCTAACTCTCTATTCCTCTCCCTTCCTCTCTGTAAAAAATCAATAAAATATATTTTTGAAAAAAGAAAAAATCACCCTGGGCCCTGCTGGTATGGCTCAGTGGTTGAGTGTCAATCTATGAGCCAGGAGGTGATGGTTCAATGCCTGGTGCGGGAAGCTAATTCCAGCAGGGCATAATAAAAAGCAATAAGTCCTCAAAAGGTTGATGGGCTTCTATATTCAGCAGGGCTGAATCATGTTATTGCTGCTGGAATAGCCGAAAGCATTTCCCCAAACCTAAAGATTTGCATATATTATTGCCTGCTGCCAGACAGCTGAGGGCAGTTCCCCCACCCTGACAATGCCTACTGTATACCAAACCTTACCTTTGATATGTATATCTGCTTTGCTTTAGGGCAATTTGTGTTAATAAAAAAGCTAGGGGTCCAGAGATTCAGAGAACTTGGTTACTGAAGCTAGGTCTCCTCTGGTTCCCCAAAATGCCTTCCAAATTTATATTTCATGCCCAGTCTCTTTATTAATATACTTGCAGCCCTTCTCCAGATTTCGGAACTCTTCTAGATGCTGAGAAACACCCCGGCAGCCTGGGATGCAGGCTCAATCCCTAATAGGGGGCCTGCAGGGGGCAGCAGTTCAATGATTCTCTCTCATCATTGATGTTTCCATCTCTCTCCCTCTCCCTTCCTCTCTGAAATCAATAAAAATATATATTTTAAAAATCACCTTGGTTGAGAACCTCCCTTCAGTATTCCTTAAGCTATACATTTATTTTATGTGGTTTATTTTTTCAAAGGTTCTTTATTGATTTTTAGAGAGAGAGGAAAGGAGAGGGAGAGAGAGAGAAACATTAATGTGAAAGTGAGGTATTGACTGACTCCTGCACACCTCCTACCAGGAATCCGGGATTGGACTTGCAACCCGGGCATGTGCCCTAACCTGGAACCCTGGAATCAAACAGGGAACATTTGAGTGCACTAGATGACGCCCAACCAACTGAGCCACACAGGCCAGGGCTTATGTTATTATTGAGTTTGCTTCCATGTGTGTGCATTTTATTTTACAATAAAAATATTCTTTAAATTCCAATGAAGTGTTCATGGGAAAATTTGACAGAATTCTACAAACAGTTTATGTGCATGAAAAAAAGACAGTGGAAATAGCCCAGGAATTTTCTAAAAGGAAGAATGCCCGATATTGAAATGCATTCTAAAGCTACAGTAGTTGAAGTGGAGTGGCACTGGGACAACATCATAGAGGAATCTGGAATAAATAACTCACCTCCAGGGATCCACTCATCAGATAAAGTCTGAAAGCTTCAGATGTGCTTTTCTGCCGGTCCCTTCAGTTACCCTCCTACCAACAAACACACTGACCTAGTCAAAGTCCTGATATAGGTAGCATCCTTCCTCCCTTCCTTTGCACGTGCACTTTCTCCTATTTGGAGCACCCTTCATTAAATGGCACACCTCCAGGCTGCCTCACAGGACCCTCCAGGTCAGGGTTTTGCCCCTATTTTCTCCTCCCATAGACCCCAGCTCCCACTCATCATCCCCTTTACCATAAACTTTAGCTTGAGTCTGCCTCTGCCTCTCAGCTTTGAAGTGCAGGATGACAGGGATTGTGTCACCTTAGGGACGTACACAGTGCCTGGTACACAGTAGGTGCTCAAAAATACTAAAATAATCAGGAAAAAAAACAATCTGTACAGTTGCTTTAGATAATAATATATTCCAAATGGATTAAAATGTTAAATGTAATTTTAAATGTTCAACAAACATTTATTGCCAGGGGCATTGGATAAAGCAGTGGCCAAAATAAATCAATTCCCTGTCCTTATGTGCTGACATTAGTGGGACAGATATGTGCAGGGAAGACAGTTCAGGAAGGTGGAACAGCATGTGCAAAGACCCTGTGGTGGGAAAGATCCAGGGTCCAGGTACCTCACCCACTGGGATCTGAGCATCAGTCCTTCCAGCTTCCACCCAACGGATGTTCCAAACACACAAATCCCCCCAGTGAATCTCCTGCTCAGAGCCTTCCATGGCTCCCCCATGTCCAGTGGATCAAACCCAAGGTCCTTACTTAGCCCTTCGCTGGGCAGCACTTGGCCACAGGGCTCCGTCCTGCTGTCCCTCCGGGACAGTCATTCCAGGCCCCGCCCCCAGGCTCTCCCACCTTCGCGGCGCCGCCCACTCCACCTCACTATTGGACAGTTCGGAGGGTGTCTGGCGTTGGTTGGCTGGAGCGACCGTCAATTAGCGTCAAGGCATTGATAACCTGTTCTCGAGCTTCGAGGGGGCGGGCTCGGGTGCGGGCGCGGATGTGGCTGCGGCATCAGGTAAATCGCCGGCTTGCGGGCCACGAAGCGGAT